AAGATGAGCAAATGATAAATTTAAGCTGTATGTATATACCTTATTGGATGTCAAATAGGTTTTTAAAAATCAGAAAATACCTTATTGAGTTAAAATGGGACAAACAGACAAATTCAGGATGACAAGTAGCTAATAGCAAAGAGATCTTAATAATAGTGGTAATAATGAAAATCTCATTTATGTGACTACAGAATACTTCAGACCTGCTGTTAGAATCTCATAAGTTTGAGTTACTTTTCCCAGCCAGTCTACATGGACACCAGTCTACATAAGCCAAGTGGCTCATGGGTCATTGTGTGGAAAAGGGAAAGAAGCTAAAGAAGCTCATGAAAGCCACAGTGTCTTTAACACCACAGACTAACCAGCTGAGAGAATATGATGTTGCTTAAAAATAACCCATTTTTTTTCAGGAAGTTTAAAGCTCCCTCTTAAAATCTAATAATACTAGAGGCCCAGTGCACAAATTTGTGCATGGGTGGGTTCCTCTGGGTGACCTGCGGGGATTGGGTGGAAACCCGTAGTCCAACGCTGCAAGCAGCTCCTACCTGCCACTCATCCCGGCCCCACTGTGCCTACTACAGGCTTGCACCCAATCAGTCCCAATTGGGGAAAATTCACACCACCATAGCAGCAGTTCTCGCCAGCTGTGAGCCCTGCGTCTGGTACCCTCAAGAGTGGAGTGGCCTGCAGGATTGGGCTGAAACTGGCTTTCCGACATCCCCTCAGGGGTCCCAGATTGAAAGAGGGTGCAGGCCAGGCCAAACGAAGTACCCCACTAGTGCATGATTGGGGCCGGGGAGGGACCGTGGGAGGGCTCTAGGGCGTGTCAGGCCCGTCTTGTTCAGTCCTGATTAGCCAGACCCCAGAAGCAAGCTAACCTACTGGTCGGAGTGTCTGCCTTCTGGTGGTCAGTGTATGTCATAGTGACTGGTTGACAGGTTGACTGTCTGCCCCCTGGTGGTCAGTGCACGTCATAGCAAGTGGTTGAGTGGCCTTAGCATACCATTAGCATATTACACTTTGATTGATTGAACAGTCTACTGGTCACTG